CCTCTCCCTCTTCCTTTCTCCCTGCTCTCTCTCTCTCTCTGTTTTGTTGACATTACAGGTGAAACTAGGGAGGAAAAATTAGGAGACTCGTTGCAAGATTTATACAGGGCACTGGAGCAAGCCAGTCTATCACCAATCGGAGAACATCGCATTTCAACCAAAATGGAATACAAGCTGTCATTCATAAAACGATGTAATGATCCTGTATTGAATGAAAAACTACACAGGCTGAGAATTCTCAAGAGCACTTTAAAGGTAAGATATGAGATAGAAGGAGAAATTCCTTCGAGGAGATTTCTTTTTGAACTGAAAGTGTATTAGCAAGTATTATAGGTTAAACAAAATGGGAGCCAGTGAGGAGGAAGAGGTAAACAGAAAGAACTTGAATTACTGGTAAAGAGGAGATCTTGTTAATTTTTCATTTAAAGTCTCAAAACACTGACTATTATGTAACTTAGTTCTAGAAGAAAACAGGATGTGATTAAATTTTTTTTCCAAAAATGCAGAGCTGGCGTTATTCCTCAGACTTTTGATTTCCTAAAATAAATATACCATGTAGTATACTTATTACAGTTATTAAAAGAACACAGCATGCATGCAGAATGCAGTAGAGGATGTTAAAAGGGTTTGAAATACAGTGTTTTGTGAGGAATATTTCCTGCATAAACTACAATGGGTTTGGAATAAAACCACAGTGATTTGTGTTTGATGTAGAAAATGTATAATTGTTCTATTTACACTATCAGTTCCCAACTCACTTGTTACTTTCCTATTATACATTTCTGTAAGTGCTTACATTGTTTGCAGTCTTCTTATTTATGCCACCCCCAGATTGGGAAGGAGGTGGTAAGGACAGAGTAGCAAAGAGGCAGGAAGTTGAAGGAGGCAGATGAGTGAACAGCCTTCACTGGGGGGGTAGGGAGAACAAGGATGGTGGAGAGGGCCTACCGCACACACTGCCTGAGCAGGTGTGTACTCTTGAACAATCAAAAACAGAAAAGAACTATCATAGAGAATATCTTTCATGAAGCAGAATGCCAAAGGGCTCCATTGGAAAATATTACAAATCCATAGCATGTTGCTAAGGTTTTGTAATTTTGAAATATAGTTGAGTATCAAAGAGATAAACAAAATAGAAAGTTAATGATTTGAAAAATTTTCAGATAGTAAGCAACCAAATTTTCAGAGTCAATTAGCTTTTAATTCATATTCATGCTAATACTGCAAATCCATGGGACAATTTAATGGACTTTTGGTAACTAAGACCACAATTTTAGAGACAACTATACTAGTCAAAAGTTATTCCAGTGACCAACCCTACTCCGAAGATATCTTCACCCACCTTCCTTAAAGAGCTTCACCCCTTCTCCCTATTGAGACCCAAACTGTCTGGTAGAGAAGGCAAGCAGGCATTTTGAAGGCCAGGCCCACATATCTTAAAGACTTACTCCTTTTTCCTTTACCCCTCCCATTGTATGTTCTGTAGACTCCTGAAAAGCATTTTCTTCTAGTGACAAAGAATATGAGCTATTGCCAGTGTTCAGTTCAGTACATATTGATGAATCACCAGGTAGATGATCCTGTGCTTGACTCTCAGGAGCAAACAAAGATAATGAAGAAGTCATTATAAAAAATAGCCCCATAAAGAAGGAGAAACTGAGACATTTATAGCTAAATGGATGCACATTGAGGCCATACTCTTAAGTGAAATAAATAGGACACATGTGTAAATACCGAATAGTTTCTCTAGTATGAGAAACTGCAAGTGTAAATAAGGATTAAAATGATTAAAATGAATAATTGATAATTTGAAATGGGAAGAAAAGGTCCAAAGGGGTAAGGGAAGTGGGAGGGAAAGGAAAGAAGGGAAAGGAAAAATTATGAGAAAAGGAAAAAATGGAAAGAAAGTCTTTGTAAATAGAGAGGGGTGGAGGGGGTGAAGGGAGGACAGGAAATGGGGAAAAAATAAGAACCAAGATACATCATGTACAGGTACAAGCACCCAATGATAAATGTAAATGTATTGTATACCTAAGATGTACCAATAAAAGAATTTAAGCAAAAAATGGCCCTTACTGGTAAAAATTAACTACCCTTTACTTTTAGACATGGAAAATTAATAAGTTATGGAAGAACAATTGACCATCCAATCCTGGATGTGTCTTATTCCAGTAATTTTTAAAGGCACCGTCACCAAGCATAGGTTTTAGATCCCACCACAGGCAACTTCTAACATTCTCAGTGTCCACTGGCCCTGTTCCATATCCTGTCTTGCCTCTAAGATAAGAACCACTTCTTAGGCCCCTTATTGTTTTCTTTCTTTCCCAACTCTGGCTCGCACAGAGGCAAGCATGAAGAGTTTACCATATAAAAGGAGAAGGACAGTACCAGAGTAACTCAAGAGATGAGATGTCATAAGTCCACTCAGTGGCAAGGATAGAATGTTTTAGGGACATGAATGAGGGAGAAAACATTTTTCCCCAAGTGTTTAAGGAAGATTTGATGAAATGAGAGGTTTTTGAATTAGATCTTAAAGCATGAGGAAGGTCTACGTAGGCAGAGAATGGCAGCAGAATAGGCCAAGAGAAAAATAAGATACATCAAGTGGGCAGTACAGGGTATACCTCTGAGCTAGAATAAAGCACAGGAGGGCTTGAGTCTAAATAGCTGAGTGGGAATATACCAAAGCCATTTCTTACGGGCTTCTAAATGGTTTGCCTATTAACTCTTTATTTTAAACTTGAAAATAAGTTTTCAAGTTTTTATATGAATAAAAATTTGTTCCCATCCTAACTGTTGAATTCTTTTGCTTTTCAGGCCAGAGAAGGGGAAGTAGCCATTATCGACAAGGTCTTGGATAATCCGGACTTGACATCTAAAGAGTTTCAGCAGTGGAAGCAGATGTACCTCGACCTTTTCTTGGATATCTGTCAAAATACTGCCTCAAATGACCCACTAAGTATTTCTTCTGAAATAGATGTAATCACTCCCTCTCTGACACATACTCATTCATATATTGAAACGCATGTGTAAGTGCATTCTGTGTACAGGCCATCTAATACCTGCTGGTAGTCCAAACAAATATTTAAGGTAGTTTTTGTATCAGTGTGTGGGACACTTGACAAGTCATACTTTGATGTTACCAAACTATGTGAAACAAACCATATATGATCATAAAACCACTGTCTTTGATGAGCATTTGTATATTTTATATGCAGTTAGTGCTCAGCTTATGTTTACCATGTTCAAATTCAGCTGTCTTTAATGATTTAAAATTAACTTTTACAAACAATTCTGAATACAGGTGGTCTTCAAGTAGTAAAACCACAAAAAGGCAGTTTTCTATCTGTGGTCATCTTTTCTCCCTTTAATTTTATATAAACAAGACTTCAAAAGTAAATCACATTTTTTCAGGTACAGACATCCTTATGGGTGGGAAAGAATTTAAACCTTTTTTATATTTATTAAAATGTTCTAAGAATTTTCTTAAACATTGCACAAAATTTAATGCTGCAGTTTTATTTTTGTGAAATGTAGGTGTGCATATAAGAGTTAAGCAAACTAGAAGAGCATCAACATAAGAAAAGTTCAGGTATCTGATAATCGTCTTAATAGTCTATTAACTTGTGAAAGCTGGTTAATGGAAGCACTATTCCAAATCTTTGAGAACACTTAATGGTATATCAGGGCAAAGCTTTGTAAGATGTTTTTGTAACTAAGACCAAATTGAAGATAGAGCTGCTTTATTTTCTTGGTTTAAATCTTCCTTTATTTTTGTAGTGATGAAATGCTGATTGTGTACAGAAGAATTTAAGAATGGATTTTTTAAAACAGACTTAACTCACCCAGAAAGGCAGCTAACAGTCATATATATA